TCCTCTTCTCCAGGCTGAACAACCCCAGCTCCCTCAGCCTGTCCTCGGAGCAGAGGTGCTCCATCCCCCTCATCATCCTCGTGGCCCTCCTCTGGACCCTCTCCATCAGGTCCATGTCCTTCTTCTATTGAGGGCTCCAGCCCTGCACACAAGACTCCAGGTGAGGTCTCACCAGAGCAGAGCAAAGTGGCAGAATCCCCTCTCTGGACCTGCTGGCAACGCAGCTTTTGATGCAGCCCAGGATGGGATTGACCTTCTGGGCTGTGAGTGCCCACTGCCTGCTCATGTCCAGCTTCTCCTCCACCAGCACCCCCAAGTCCCTTTCCTCAGGGCTGCTTTCCAATCCCTCACCCCCCAGTCTGTACTGATGGTCCCAGGTGCAGAACCTTGCATTTGCTCTTGTTGAACCTCATGAGGTTCACCTGGGCCGACCTCTCCAGGAGGACAGGATCTCCAGGATGACATCCCCTCCCTCTGGTGTATCCACAACACCACACAGCTTGGTGTCATCCCCAAACTTGCTGATGGTGCCTTTAATCTGTCTATATCATTGATAAAAATGTTAAAAATGTTTCCACCTCCTCCTCCTCCTCTTCCTCCTCCTCCCAGGTCCACCCGGACAAGAACCATCACCCCAGGGCGGAGGCGGCCTTCAAGGTGCTGCGGGCGGCCTGGGACATCGTCAGCAGCCCCGAGAGGAGGAAGGAGTATGAAATGTGAGCGTTTTGGGGGGGACAGGACACATGGGGACCCCCCCCTCAACGGAGACTGATTTCCCCCTGGATTTTCCCCCCCCTCCCCGCAGGAAGCGGATGGCGGAGAGCGAGCTGACCAGGTCCATGAGCGAGTTCCTGAGCCGGCTGCAGGACGACCTGAAGGAGGCCATGAACACCATGATGTGCAGCAAGTGCCAGGGGAAGCACAAGTAGGTGCCGAGACCACGGGGGGTGAGGAGCAGCACATCTTTTGGGGGGTAAAAACGTGGGGTTTCAGTAACGCCCCCCCCTTTCACCACAGGAGGTTCGAGATGGACCGGGACCCCCTGAACGCCCGGTATTGTGCTGAGTGTGGGGGGCTGCACCCCGCCGAGGAGGGCGACTTTTGGGCCGAATCCAGCCTCTTGGGGTTGAAAATCACCTACTTCGCCATGATGGACGGCAAGATCTACGACATCACGGGTGGGTGTCGCACCCCCCCCCACACACACACACCCCCTGGGGACCCCGATGGCCGTCACCCCGGCGTCGGGGCGGCGTGACCCACGACCCACGGCGTTTTTCTCTCTCTTTTTGGGCAGAGTGGGCCGGGTGCCAGCGCGTGGGCATCTCCCCCGACACCCACCGCGTCCCCTACCACATCTCCTTCGGCGCCAGGAACGCCGGCCCCCCGGGGCGGCAGAGGTGGGTGATGGGGAAACAGCCTTTGGTTGGGGGTTCCCCAAGGGGGAGGCCAAGCACAAGAGGCGGAAGAAGGTGCGGCGGCCGTTCCAGCGCTGAGCAGACTCCGCTGGGCACCAAAAAGGGCTCTCTTTCCAATAAAAAAAAAATCTATTTTTCTTTTTTTTTTAAAAAAAAAAAGAAGTAATTTCTTCTGTTGAAAAGCGAGCAGGGAGGCCGTGGGGCCGGGAGGAGCTGTGCCTCGGGGCCAGCTGTACCAAAGAGCCCGGCGGGGCGCGGGGCAGCCGGACGGACGGACAGACAGACCGGCTGCCGCATCTTTTCAGGGTTTTCGTGACGTTCAGGTGATGCCTGGTTCTGGGGGGGGGGGGGGAAACCCCCCGAGCCAAAGCTGCCACGGGGGCCGTGGGGGGGGGCTCACGTGACCCCCGCCGGCGCCGTTTGCATATTATGGGGTTTTTTTTTTATGCGTTTTGTTCCGTTTTTTGCTCGCCCGCATCTATTTATTGCTGCGTCCCCTTTCCGGCCGTGCAGCCGCCCACCTTGGCTGTGCTCCTTCCTCTTCCTCATCCCCCTCATCCCCTTCCCTGGGCGCTGGGGACCAAGAGCAGCTCATTATTTTTTATTTCAAATAAGAGGCAGGAGCTGCTCGGGGGGGGGCTGCCGATAAAACCCTATCCTGAGGGGGTTTTCCCAAAACACACGTGTGTGTGTGTGTGTTGGTGTTTCCCAGCCCTCTGTGGGTGTTGGCCAGTGGCCCAGTGGCCACACTGGTCCTTGGTGGCAGTTACTGGGGGACCAAGTAACCTCGGGGACCTCAGGAGGGTCCTGGGGGTGTCGCCGGCCCCGGAGGGGTGCTCGGGGGGGGGACACCAGTCCCTGGCTGAGCTGAAACGCCCCAGGAAGTTGGAGCCCGGAGTGTAACTTCTTTCTTATGGCTTTTGTTAAATTAAAAAGTCCAGTTTGAAGGAGTGTGGCTGGTCTGTGCTGGGAGGGAGCCCCAAGCTGCTCCGGTGGCTCCTGGTTCTTTATTACGGTGGGGACACGGAGCCAGGGAGGTGTGAGGGGGGGGAGGTGATGGTCCCCCTGTACTGGGCACTGGTGAGGCCTCACCTCGAGTGCTGTGTCCAGTTTTGGGCCCCCTACCATAAAAAAGACATCGAGGTGCTGGAGCGGGTCCAGAGAAGGGCGACAAAGATGGTGAGGGGTCTGGAGAATAAGTCTGATGAGGAGAGGCTGAGGGAGCTGGGGGTGTTCAGCCTGGAGAAGAGGAGGCTGAGGGGAGACCTTCTTGCTCTCTCCAACTCCCTGAAAGGAGGGGGTAGAGAGATGGGGGTCGGTCTCTTTTCTCAAGTCACAGGCGACAGGACGAGAGGAAATGGCCTCAAGTTGCGCCAGGGGAGGTTCAGGCTGGATATTAGGAACAATTTTTTCCCTGAAAGGGTTCTCAGCCCTTGGAATGGGCTGCCCAGGGAGGGGGTTGAGGCCCCATCCCTGGAGGTGTTCAAAAGCCGGGTTGATGTGGTGCTGGGAGGTCTGGTTTAGTGATGATGCTCCTTGTTTGTTGTGGGGGTGTCTATTTTTGTCAGTCGGGTTGACAGTTGGACAAGATGATCTTTAAGGTCCCTTCCAACCTAGAAGATTCTGTGATTCTTCCCCCCAAGTCCACAGTTCTCCCCACGTGGGGGGTGACAACAGAGAAGCTCTGGGGAGAAGGTGCATGTGTGTGACAAGGCTCCGTGCCGCCCGGACACCCTTCACCGGGGAGACAAACCCCCCATGAGGAGCTCCCCCAAGCCCCAGGAGGTCCCTGCCCTCCTCACGCCTCACCCCTGCTCTCCAGCTGGTGCCTCGTGCCCTTCCAGTGTCCCCTCTTTGTCCCCAGCTCTGCTGGAATGGTCCAGGGTGGTGGGTCTCAGTATTTATTGATGCCGAAGACACGCACGCCGTGGAACTGGGGCAGTTTGGGCAGCAGGACGCTGAGCAGGGAGGCCGTGTTGACCAGGAAGTGCGCGGGGTCGTATTTGGTGTAGAAGCTGGTGAGGAGGTACCTGGGGATGGAGGGGAGAGAGAGGGAGACACCGGGGTGAGCTCTGCGCCGCTCCCACCCCAAATACCGGGGGGGATTTTGGGTGCTTTGCTGGTGTTGGCAGTGAAAAGCAGCACCTCGTTGTCAGGGAACCCTCTCCAGCCCCTGGGACCTGGAGAGGTGGGCCCAGGTGAACCTCATGAGGTTCAACAAGAGCAAATGCAAGGTTCTGCACCTGGGCCGGAACAATCCTCACCACCAATACAAACTGGGGGGTGAGGGATTGGAAAGCAGCCCTGAGGAAAGGGACTTGGGGGTGCTGGTGGAGGAGAAGCTGGCCATGAGCAGGCAGTGGGCACTCACAGCCCAGAAGGTCAATCCCATCCTGGGCTGCATCAAAAGCTGCGTTGCCAGCAGGTCCAGAGAGGGGATTCTGCCACTTGACTCTGCTCTGGTGAGACCTCACCTGGAGTCTTGTGTGCAGGGCTGGAGCCCTCAATATAAGAAGGACATGGACCTGATGGAGAGGGTCCAGAGGAGGGCCACGAGGATGATCAGGGGGATGGAGCACCTCTGCTACGAGGACAGGCTGAGGGAGCTGGGGTTGTTCAGCCTGGAGAAGAGGAGGCTCCGGGGAGACCTAAGAGCAGCCTTCCAGTACCTGAGGGGGGGCTACAGGAAGGCTGGGGAGAGCCTGTTTAGAAAGGGCTGCAGTGACAGGACGAGGGGCAATGGCTTCAAGCTGGAGGGGAACAGCTTGAGACTGGAGATGAGGAGAGGGTTCTTCACTGGGAGGGTGGTGGAGCACTGGGACAGGTTGCCCAGGGAGGTGGTTGAGGCCCCTTCCCTGGAGATATTCAAGGGGAGGCTCGATGGGGCAACCTGGTCTAGTTGGGGGTGTCCCTGCTGACTGCGGGGGGGTGGGACGAGATGCCCTTTGGGGGTCCCTTCCGGCCTGGGCAACTCTATGACATGTCCCTGTGCTGAGGGAAGGCCAGTGGTCGTACCCCGCACCCCACAGACCCTCCTGCAGCCCCCCCAGCCCGGCCCCAGGGACTCACAGCACCACGGGGGAGATGCTGAGGAACTTGCGGGAGGAGGTGCACTGCGTCCCGTAGTCGATCTGCTCCCAGTGCGTGAGGAGACGGTCCTTGCCCTGGTCTGGGGTCTCGAAGGGGGTCCCCTTCACCGTGTGCAGCAGCAGGTACATCACCTGCGGGTTTCAAGAGGAGAGGAGATGTACAACAAGCCCAGGAGAGGCTGCTGCTGGGACAGGAACGGGCTTTGTGCCGTTTCCTGAGCTGAGGAGCTCAGTGCCAGCCCCCCAGGAACCAGGGGGCTCTCCCCAACGAAGGCCAACCCCGGCTCTTTTTGGGGGCCAAGCCTGGACTCACCAGGTTGTGAATGACGTTGGTGAGCGTCCAGACCACGGGGATGCTGAAGAAGGGGATGCTGAGGAGAACGACGTGGAGGACCCCCACGGAGATGACGTAGGCCAGCCAGATGCCCCGGCTGTTCATCACCCTGGTGTTGGGGTTCACCTCGCTGTGCGCCACGCCGACGTTCATCCTGCAGCCAACAAAGGGAGCTTCCAGAGCAATCCCCAGAGAGGTTTTTCCCAAATCCCTGCAGTTCCCAACCCAGTTGGGGGCTCCTGGTGTAGCCCCACATCCACCGTTTTCCCCCAGCACCTCTCACCCTGCCCTTCCCACGTGCCGAACCCCAACGCACCCCTGATGCCAGCTCCCTAATTAGTGACTCTGCATCTCAGCCTTAAGGCCGGGAGCACAAGGGCGAGGAGAGCAAAGAGGAGCTCACTCCCACTCACCAGAAGGGCTGGGAACACTGGAAGAACCACCCCTGGACATGGCTCCCCCCCTTCCCAGCGCTCCCAAGCCCGGCTCCTCGGCCCTAAGGCAGGTGTGGGGTCGGGAAACCACCACCGATCCCTCCCCTCGGGAGGGGGGAGGGTTCCCTCGGGGGGAATATTGCCCTCCCCAGGGCCAGGGATGCCTGCTCCCCTCACGGCCCGGCCCTGCCGCCATGGGCTCACACCACCGGCCCCTCAGAGCCAAGCCCTTCCTCCTTGTCCCCCCCCAGCTCTGTCCCCTCGTCCCTCAGAGCCCTGGTCCCCCCCAGCCCTGTCCCCTCACCCCTTAGGCCCCCAGAGCCCTGTCCCCTCGCCCCTCAGGCCCCCGACAGCCATG